TGCAAAAGAGTTCCGTGAACGAAAATAGTGGAAAATGCTCCTCCCTTACCCGTTCAAATGCTCTACAAAAATATTGAAACTTGAAATGTTCATAATATACAGGTATATGCTGAAAATACCGTTATTCTTCTCCTTCTTCTCTTATATGATAATACGAGTATATCACAAAAAATAACCTGTAAAATAATATGGACTCTTTTATTATTATTAAAATTTATAGCAATGCGGGAGTACCCTTAAGAAGTTTTGATTGTATTTGACTTTTATAAGATTATTTAAACGAGCCCTTAGGGCAATACAAGCAAATTATATATGTATGCTTGAATCGCAACAGTTAATCAAAACCATAGCCGTGTGGCAATGCTAAGTAATCAAAGGGTATACAATTATTTAGCAAGTGCGTAACGAGTTTCCTGCTATTATGTGACTTCCTTTTGCGATGTTCGCTTTGCCTCCAGCTCAGACTTTGGCAATAAGTGCTTTCGTCATTCTGCGCACTAGAGCTAAATGTTAATTTGTCGACTCACCTGCAAATGAACGTATACGTATATATATATAGAGCGTATATTTATACTCTATAATTATGTGTGCTGCTTCGTTGGGGGAACTGCGCAAAAACGCAACTGAAACTTTGATTAATCGCTGAAGGAGCTGTTTGTCTGTTTGGCTGTCAGTTGTCGGCTGTCGACTGTCGGCTGTCGGCTGGGTGCGGCGCAAAGAAAATAGAATTTTTGGCCAACTGACAAACTGTGGTCAAAAGGCATTTGGCCTATTACATCAGCGCACAAAAGTAGACAGCAGTTGGCCGCTTGCTGTGGAGCACTTGGAGCATTAAATTATTGGCCAAACTGCTGAAATTCGAATGCAAATTCAATAATTATAAATTAGGTATGCGGCTGGTAGAAATCAATTTCCAAATTCAATTACAAAATGGCAAAAAATTTAAATGAAATGAATTTGCATGCGAAGACGTTGAGAGCGAGTCGCCAGCAGCAGCAGGCAGCATGAATCCCCCAGACTCTGACTGAAATTAAAATTTCAATTGGCTGGAAAATATGAATGCCGCCTGCCGCTTTGACAGCAGCCACAAAATATTAATAAATAAAACACCAAAATTAAATTAAGTGAAATGCGCTCCTAAGCTGTCGACGCTCTAATCAAAATGCCAGCTGACACCCCGTTGACAGCTGTGGTGTGTCCTGTGTATATATATGCATGTGTGTGTGGGTGTGTGTCAGCTTCTGTTGTCGCATCGTGAATGCTTTAACATCCTACGTGCACTACCTGGCGTATACGCCATTTGGGTTTTATCACGAATAGTCGCATTAATAACCGAAATAAAAGTTACTGCTCCATATAAAGCTGTCATTGCCGTTTGTTGAGCCATGACTCTGACAGGCTAAGACTCTCAAAGTCCAACTGAATACCCTGTTAAACTAATTCTTTATTTATTCTTGATTTCAATCATCTTTTAAAAAGATTAACTTATCAAAGTATTATTTCATATATTTTTTTAATTTCATCAAAAAAGTTCGAAAAGATAAAATATTTATTTTCTTTTTGCATTTAATTGAAAATTATTAATTGTTCACAAAGTCTATATAAATTTTTAAATATTTGTTTATTTGTTATTAGTAAAATTCGTATAAATATATATATTTTATATATTATTGTCAAATATGTGAAAGTGAAAGGCTTATAATTTTTATTTCGAAGCCTAAATAACAATACTTTTAATAATAATTTTATTCATTAAATTCCCGCCACTTCGAATTAAAATTAATTTATTAAAGTGAATTATCAGAGAATGGCTTGAATATTGCATTTGTCTTCATGTTTGGTCTATGACATTGTGCTGTTTGCTTTACGCCATACTTAACACATTATCGAAATTAAGTATACGACGTGGGCAACTTAAAGTCGGCTTTATTTATTTGCTGAGCGGCCGCAAGCAGACAGCGAAGCGAATGACCAATTTGACCCAAATACCTGACAACATGTTTGTATGTATATATATGGGTATGTGCATGGGTATCCTTGAATATCCCTGTTTGTTTGTAAATACTCGAATGATACATTCATATCAGTCAAAAGGAAAACTGCAGAGAGTAAAGTCCACTGTGAGAGTGGACTGCCGTTGGCTGGCATTTTGCTACCTTGCGCAGTTTTACGACTTAATGACTCTGCTGGGATTAATATGACTAATGGCACTCGCGCTGCTTTTTATTCGATACAGTTCGTTTCTATATATAAAGAGTGCTCGGCCTTTGTGCAATTCATGTTCAAATGGCCGACATTGATGGGCGCACACTCAAGAAAACATGGGACACTGACTCGTACACACACACACACACACACTTAAATGATTATGGCTCCTGGCTGGCTCTGACTTCGCTTTGTGTGCTGACATGCCATTTATATATAGCAAAAAATATATGTATGTATGTATATATGTATTATATCTGATGGCAGGTATATTTCTTGAGCTTGCATGACTATGGAATATCCTGTTGCTGTAGAGCAGCGCAAAGAACTCTATCGCTTATTTGCTTATGTTTTTCGTGTTCCATGTTCTCTTGTTTGTCTTTCAATGCCAACAATTGTCCGAATATCTTGGCCTGAGTGCTAAATTCTTATCGAAATTGAATTTTTTTAAGGGAAATTCATTTTTAATCGCAGCAAGCTCAAGGCAATTAAATTCCATTTCGCTCTCCCTTCTTAGTTTCTAAGTTGCTTCTGTTCACGTTTTTTCCCCACACAATTTGAACCTATTTAAACTTTACTTATCTAAGTTTCCGTTATGCAAATTGTTAGCCACGCTTTACTTAGTTAATGCGTTATGTGCTCGAGTCTTAAGCAACTGCGTTCTTAGTTTTACATAAATTGTGTGCTTGGGTATATTTTATAAAATCTATAAAATAGATCATTTCTTGCATTGCCTATCCTAATAAAGAAATTAAAGCCAACTAAGCTTCCCTTGGCTCACAGGGCTCGAGACCCGAGACGTTGCCAGCCAGACAATTTTTAGGGGCGCTCTAATTTTAAACATCATTTAAACAGACATTAAGCAGCATACGCCCCGGCTTAGCTGCGAGATGTATTTATAAGTATGAAGAGGGAACAGCTTGAAATTTAAACACTCGGCTCACGCACACACCCACACACACGCACATGGTCGTTTGACTGTCATTAGCTGCAGCAGCACTACAAGCACAACAACTGGACGAATCACTAAACAACAAAACAGTTTATCAAAGCAACCGAACGGGCCACTTGGACATGGGTTCAGGTCAACTCGTAGCTGGCAACTGAAAGTGTTGACTCTTATCAATGGCATGCATCAGTCAGTCAGGAAAATTAATTAACAACAACATTGACACTTGAACACTGGGACTCCACAGACAGACAGCTAAACATTAATGGGGGCCGGACCAGGGCGGGCCGGAGCGTAGTGGGGCCACACAGGGCAGTTGGAGCACTCGTAAAGTCAACAAGCTGCTGAAGCGTGTCCTTTGCCAAGCGCTGCTCCATTTGCTACTCATGAATTGTTTTTGTCATTGTTGTTGCGGCTTGTTTCTGGTTACTGTTTATATAGTGTTCCACACATTCACACACTCACACCCATGCACACTCTCACTCGAAAGTATACTTGGGGTTTGCTGACCTGGCCACAAGCCAATCGGCCTCAACAATAGCCCGTTCTCAAGCCAAATGAACCATAGAAGCAGAAGACGAAAGATCCTTTTGCGGTTTGTGTGCGAAAATTGTAGAAATAAATTTCATTTGCCCATTCTTAAAATATTTTCCCATATGTACATGTATATGTATATGTTTCTCCCTCTCCCTCTCTCTTCACTTCTCCCCCTCTCTTTCTCTCTCTCTCTCTCTCTCTCTGTGTGTATTTGTGTATGACTTTCTGTGTTTTGGTTTTTGAGGTTTTGGTCCTTTGTTTCAATATGAAATAAATTTCTATTTATTATACACAAACTCAACCTGATTTGCTGTGTATATTTCGAAAATAATACGAATTCCTTACTCGAAATGAAATATTGGAAAATATTGATTAATTTTGGCTTTTGCTTTTTAATATCAACTGCAGCACGGCATTTCGGTTAGTCCGTGGCTCGGAGCGCTGTTCGTTGTTTATTGCAGCTCATTTGTTTTTATTTATGATGAATAACACAAATTGCTGAACGCGATTTGTTGGCTTTAGTGCAAAAAACATTTTCGAAATTCTAATATAGATTATCGGCAGAGAGGATGTGTGTTCCTGATGTGGCTAATGATGCAGAATAATTCAATGAAAATTTATATAGAACATATATCACATAATCTATTGGATATGGAAATACCTCTTCGCTATTATGCGTATTATATGTTTCAATTTAATGATGTAAACAGGATTGAAAGCAAATAAAGTTTATGTTATCACATCTTTAATCAGATATATATATATAT